CGGTCAGGAGCCCACCCCAGACCGGTCAGGAGCCCACCCCAGACCTGTCAGGAGCCCACCCCAGACCTGTCAGGAGCCCACCCCAGACCTGTCAGGAGCCTACCCCAGACTGGTCAGGAGCCCACCCCAGACAGGTCAGGAGCCCACCCCAGACCGGTCAGGAGCCCACCCCAGACCTGTCAGGAGCCCACCCCAGACCTGTCAGGAGCCCACCCCAGACCTGTCAGGAGCCCACCCCAGACCGGTCAGGAGCCCACCCCAGACCGGTCAGGAGCCCACCCCAGACCAGTCAGGAGCCCACCCCAGAAAGCCCGGCAACAAGCCCACACCCCTGGATATACAAAGTACACGACACATGCTATCTTTTAGGTGTTTGCCTTTACTTGTATAATCTGTCTACTAGAAAAGTCATCGTAAGACAAATCTCATTCAACATTCGTCTAAAAAAGTCGAATCAGTCTATCTTCATAGATTTCTTGAGGGAGATTGCTGATAAATATTTCTGTCTTCAACCCAGTCTGCAAGAGGGCCGACATATTTTTTCTGACCATTAACCTGTATGAGATCAACACTACACCTTTCCATCCACTCTGGAAGGGAAGATTTATTGTCTTTATGCAGAGAATGAATCCAAGCCTCGCTCTCTCAGCGTTCATCACATTATTATCCATCATCACAGACTGATCCACTCTCGACATGTGATCAGAGGCTAAACTGGGTTCTTTTTCATGCTCTGACCAGGAGAAGCAGACACAATCCCTGGTCTCTTCTATGGGCCATAATCGGTGGGTAGAAAGCTAGCTCCTACTCCCCTCAAAAAGTCCCTGTCCCCGTTGGGTCTGTCTCAGTCTGATCTGGTGAGGGCCATGGAGCTGCTGGAGAACTTCCATACTCAAGTCCAGAAGCTGGTGATGGTCTGGGTAGATGGTGGTTGGTCACATTATCCAGAGACAGTCCAAGCTCAGGGAAGGAGGCAACCTGAAAGAGGTCACCATTCCAGGCACAGGTAAAACAAAACAAAAAAAAAATAAAAAATCCAAAGACAGGCCAAACAGGTGGGGGCAAGCAAGATGGGGGGAGCTAGGTAGCAGACACAGCCAATCGGTTTAGATGAGAAGGAGCAGGCACAGGGCAGCAGTGTAGATGGGTAAGCTTCTCTACTTTACCAAAAAAGTTGGTTTCCTAGAGCTACATTTTAAAAGAAGTGCCTGGCAGTAACATTAAAGGGACATGGAGACCAAGGGCCACTCGTTGTTCTGCCAGGGACCCCCTCATGGAGGTTTAGAACCTAGCTGCATGCTGACCCCTGGTCACAACCCCTAGGTTCTTCCAGCTTCCAGGTGTGGAGACTAACCGGGTAGCAGTAGCGTATGAGCGCAGTAGCACTCCAGTGGCGGTAACTGTGCTGTGGAGAGGGACTAAGACTGATGAGCACACCGGAACACGCTGGAACAAGACGCAGGAGCAAAAAGGTGCAGGACCAGACTGGGCATTGGTACCAGATAAGTATAGAACCAGGCCAAAGAAATGAAAGAAATCACACTTAGGGGAATAATAAAGCTACTGGCACATCAACCGAAGCAAACAACTCATCAAATCAGATCACCAAAATGTATAAGTGAGTCCATCTAATAAAATACGAAAATATAAAGTCCCAACTTGACAAGAGTGGGAACCTTTATCCACAGGAATACAAGGACTCTTCCCTCAATTAACCACCTCAGTGATCCTACCTACCGGTTTCTCCTATGGACTTCCTTACCGTGTTCCAACTTTGGATTCACTTGGATGCTGCCTGACCTGACCCCTGGCCCATATTCTGGTTCTCCTTCATCTCTGTTGTGTTTTAGCCTGCTCCAGTGATGTCCACAGTCCCACTGTCTGGCCCGGTTCATTATCAAGTCCCAAAGTGACCAGAGTGGGAATCTTCATCCACAGGAATACAAGGACTCTTCCCTCAATTAACCACCTCAGTGATCCTCCACCACGCGCTCTTCCAAACACGCTTACCAGAATATGTTGACTCTCTGGTTCAGAAGAGCCAAAAGCACATCTGTAAAGTCCCACACGGGATAGATGCCCTGGAAGATGTCAGATGTGACGAAACGCGTAGAGCGGAGCCGCCGTTCGTGACGTCATCACGCATCCAGGAATCGGCCCGCCTAAGCGCTGGGACCAGCTGTATTATACGATAAGCGCTTGTGTTTTTCACTTTCTGAGTATACAGTGTGTCTTTATAAATTTTGAAGCGGAGTTCCACCCTTTTTTTTTCTTTCATGATCTTTTCCACACAATGCCCACCCGCAGAAAAGTCTGTTTATGGAATATTTTTTTTTCTTCTAAATATCTTCTTTTTGCTATCAGTATCCTGCACTTCCAGTCCAGCCGCCTAGGCAATTTCATCATTAAGCGATTCCCAAGGACTCTTTAGATATCGGCATTGGTTTTTCTCAGGTGTCTTTTGGGAAGCCTAATGGTGCCTCGCGGTATTTCTTGACCTGGAAGTGACGTTATTGGGAAGAATGATTGACAGGTTGCTATAACAATGGGGGGTGGGATCTTTCATCGCCGCCATTGTTATGACAACCCCCAAACAACACAGTGCGACGCGCTGTGTCCTTACAAGATTGGGAGGTGCATGTTGGGCAGCCAACTACACCGAATCCCAGAAGAAAGTAGGAGTTGACTTCAGATGCCCACACTAGTAATGGCCGCTGCTTGTCTGCCGGGATCCGGGAATGTCACATTTCCGATGGAATAGCCGGACAAGAGGACACTATCCTGTGTGGGACTTTACAGACAGATGCGATTTTGACTCTTCTGACCCAGAGAGTCGGCATAATCTGGTAAGCGTGTTTGGCAGAGTACGTGGTGGAGGATCACCGAGGTGCTTGATTGAAGGAAGAGTCATTGTATTCTATGGATGAAGATTCTCACACTGGTCACTTTGGGACTTGATAATGAACCGGGCCAAACAGTGGGACTGTGGACATCACTGGAGCAGGCTAAAACACAACAGAATGAAGGAGACCAGAATATGGGCCAGGGGTCAGGTCAGGCAGCAAACAACTGAATACAAAGCTGGAACACGGGAAGTCAGTCCAAAGGAGAAATCTGTGGGGAACAAAAAAAAAGTCAGGATTTTGGAAACAAGCAGAAGTTTTGGTTGGGCACCTCACAAGTGTGTGCAGGTCCTTTTAAATAGGTGCAGTACATTTAAGGTACGGGCGCCTATGATGTCATTGCCTTCAATGCAACTCAGAAGCAACCCCGGAGCACCACCAAGGGAGCGAATGAGGGAGCCTGGCAGCGAGAGATCGAGGAAAGCAAGTGTCGTTACATATTTCCAACAAGCTATCCTTTGCAAGCCATCTTTTTCAAGTTGGACACAAGCTTTAAAGCAAACCATTCCTCTTTAGCTGCATGTACTATGGAGTAGTTCATCCACAAAGATCCTCAAAGGGTCACGACAAAGGCTCTGAAGTCAGTTTTAGTTTGTTTCTATCAGCTTAGAGCACCTGCTGTGGGTTTCCATTAGGAGCCTGCCAAGATTCTGCTCTCCATAGAGATTAGGAGGAGAGGAGATACGGTTTCTGTTCTGAGCATCGAGCATTCATTTCTCCACAATGCCTATAGCTATGGAAGTTCATGAGGGCTTGTTGAAAAACCCACCTTTGCTGGTTGTTCAGAATAGGTTCATTCTTTAGGGTGTGTAGTCTGGATACAAGGTCCACGCTAAATATATATATATATTTATTATACAAATATATCTACATACACTATATTGGCAAAAGTATTGAGCCGTCGGCCTTTTCACACACATGACCTGTAATGGCCCCCCAGTCTTAGTCCGTAGGGTTCAATATTGAGTTGGCCCCGCCCTTTCCACACATATGACCTTTAATGGCCCCCCAGTCTTAGTCTGTAGGGTTCAATATTGAGTTGGCCCCGCCCTTTCCACACACAGACCTTCAATGGCCCCCCGTCTCAGTCCCTTTGCACTTTTGCAATAACAGCTTCAACTCTTCTGGGAAGGCCGTCCACAAGGTTTAGGAGGGTGTCTATGGGAAGGTTGGACCATTCTTCCAGAAGCACATTTGTCAGGTCAGGCACTGATGTCGGGGAGGAGGCCTGGCTCGCAGTCTCCGCTCTAATTCATCCCAAAGGTGTTCTATGGGGTTGAGGTCAGGACTCTGTGCAGGACAGTCAAGTTCCTCCACCCCAAACTGGCTCCTCTTTATGGACCTTGCTTTGTGCACTGGTGCGCAGTCATGTTGGAACAGGAAGGGGCCATCCCCAAACTCCTCCCACAAAGTTGGGAGCATGAAATTGTCCAAAATGTCACCTTAAGAGTTCCCTTCACTGGAACTAGGGGCCAACCCATCCCCTGAAAAACAACCTCACACCATAAATCCCCCTCCACCAAACTTTACGCTTGGCACAATGCAGTCACTCAAGTACTATTCTCCTGGCAGCCGACAAACCCAGACACGTCCATCGGATGGCCAGACAGAGACGCGTAATTGGTCTCTCCAGAGAACACGTCTCCTCTGCTCTAGAGTCCAGTGGTGGCGTGCTTTACACCACGGCATCCAACGCTTTGCATTGCACTTGGTGATGGAAGGCTTGGATGCAGCTGCTCGGCCATGGAAACCCATTCCATGAAGTTCTCTACACACTCTTGTTGGGCTCATCTGAAGGCCACACCAAGTTTGGAGGTCTTTAGCTATTGACTCTGCAGACAGTTGGTGACTTCTGCGCACTGTGCGCTTCAGCATGCGCTGACCCCGCCCTGTCATGTGACGTGGCCTACCACTTGGTGGCTGAGTGGCTGTTGTTCCCAGTTGCTTCCACTTTGTTATAATCCCACTAACAGTTGAGCATGGAATATTTAGTAGCCAGGAAATGTCATGGATGGACTTATTGCCCAGGTGGCCACCTATCACGGGACCACGCTTGGAGTCACTGAGCTCCTGAGAGTGACCCATTCTTTCACCAATGTTTGTAGAAGCAGTCTGCATGCCTAGGGGCTTGATTGTATACACCTGTGTCCATGGAGGGGATTGGAACACCGGAATCACATGATATGGAGGGGATGGGAACACCTGAATCACATGATATGGAGGGGATTGGAACACCTGAATCACATGATTGGGAGGGGATTGGAACACCTGAATCACATGATTGGGAGGGGATTGGAAAAGCTGAATCACATGATATGGAGGGGATTGGAACACCTGAATCACGTGATTGGGAGGGGATTGGAACACCTGAATCACTTGATTGGGAGGGGATTGGAACACCTGAATCACGTGATAGGGAGGGGATTGGAACACCTGAATCACGTGATAGGGAGGGGATTGGAACACCTAAATCACATGATTGGGAGGGGATTGGAACACCTGAATCACATGATTGGGAGGGGATTGGAACACCTGAATCACATGATATGGAGGGGATTGGAACACCTGAATCACATGATATGGAGGGGCTTGGAACACCTGAATCACATGATTGGGAGGGGATTGGAACACCTGAATCACATGATATGGAGGGGATTGGAACACCTGAATCACATGATTGGGAGGAGATTGGAACACCTGAATCACATGATATGGAGGGGATTGGAAAACCTGAATCACATGATTGGGAGGGCGGGGACAATACTTTTGGCGATATAGTGTATATTTATTTTATTTCCTTGGTATATTGTTCGTGTATCCTGTGGGGCAGAATGCGGAGGGAACATATCCTACAGCTCATGTAGAAAACTAAAGTAGTGTACAAAACAGGAATTATTTTCCCATTACTGGTCAGGGGGAGGATACGTTTCTTGCAATTCTTTTTTTATGTCTTTTGGAAACCATTTTCCATGCTGCTTGATAGGTATTTTCTTTTTTCATTCGATAAAACTATAACCTGTGATTATAAATGTGTATAAAAGGGAGACGACCCTCCAAACCCATTAGAAATCCTTGTCACTGCTGGAGAATCTGGGGGTTCTGGAACCATATATCGTACTGGGACAATGCTGCGGGGTCTATTCATAAAAAAAAAAAAAAATTAAAAATTACTTATTAAAAATAATCCGTGTATTTTGCCTAAAATGTTTATTCCCTGTGATTGTCCAAGCAGCCATAATGTGGTATTTTCCTGATTGAGGTATTTTAGGGAAATACTGTATTATGGCCACTAGATGGAGCTGGTGATCATAGGAAAAAAAAACATTTTATAAATGAAACCCTTAGTGTTACTAAACCCCCAACAGTACAATCAGTCTGTAGAAAAGCATGCTTGTTATACTCACTGTGGAACGTAAGGGGTTAATCTTCTGCATTGTGTAAAAAGGCAGTTTGATCCTGACTTCTCTGATCCTCCCCTTCTTCCAGTGCCCCCCTCTTATCTCCTGATAAGACATATGGTGTGGAGACACTCTGCACATGCTCAGTTTAGTGTGTATCGCTAGAGAGGTTGTTTTTTTTTTTTTCTTGGGAGAGTGCATGTGATCAGCACAGGGCCAGTCAGCACTGTCCAGACAGAGGTCAGGGATCCTGCAGCCTCCTAGAGCAGAATGAAAACCCCTCCTACAAGCTTTAACCAGTGTTCTGCTGGACACTGATAGAAGTCACAAGACTGTTATATACTGCTGATGGGAAAAGGGATTTAGCAGTTTATATTTCCTAACATAATTGCATTTCCATGTTCATGTTCTGTGTACTGTGGGAGAGCGGATATAGTGAATGCGGGGTCCGGGGAGAGGGATATAGTGAATGCGGGGTCCGGGGGGGAGAGCGGATATAGTGAATGCGGGGTCCGGGGAGTGAATGCGGGGTCCGGGGGGAGAGCGGATATAGTAAATGCGGGGTCCGGGGAGAGCGGATATAGTGAATGCGGGGTCCGGGAGAGCGGATATAGTGAATGCGGGGTCCGCGGGATGCGGGTCCGGGGAGAGCGGATATAGTGAATGCGGGGTCCGGGGAGAGCGGATATAGTGAATGCGGGGGTCCGGGGGAGAGCGGATATAGTGAATGCGGGGTCCGGGGGAGAGCGGATATAGTGAATGCGGGGTCCGGGGAGAGCGGATATAGTGAATGCGGGGTCCGGGGGGAGAGCGGATATAGTGAATGCGGATATAGTGAATGGGGTCCGGGGAGAGCGGATATAGTAATGAATGCGGGGTCCGGGGAGAGCGGGATATATAGTGAATGCGGGGTCCGGGGAGAGCGGATATAGTGAATGAATGGGGTCCCGGGGGGGAAAGCGGGGGAGAGCGGATATAGTGAATGCGGGGGTCCTGGGGGGGAGAGCGGATATAGTGAATGCGGGGGATATAGTGAATGCGGGTCCGGGGAGAGCGGATATAGTGAATGCGGGGTCCGGGGAGAGCGGGGAGAGCGGATACAGTGAATGCGGGGTCCCGGGGAGAGCGGATATAGGGAATGCGGGGTCCAGGGAGGCGGGGAGACAGTGAATGCGGGGTCCGGGGAGAGCGGATATAGTGAATGCGGGGTCCGGGGAGAGCGGATATAGTGAATGCGGGGTCCGGGGAGAGCGGATATAGTGAATGTAGTGAATGCGGGGTCCGGGGAGAGCGGATATAGTGAATGCGGGGTCCGGGGAGAGCGGATATAGTGAATGCGGGGTCCGGGGAGAGAGCGGATATAGTGAATGCGGGGTCCGGGGAGAGCGGATATAGTGAATGCGGGGTTCGGGGGGGGAGAGCGGATATAGTGAATGCGGGGTTCGGGGAGAGCGGATATAGTGAATGCGGGGTCCGGGGAGAGCGGATATAGTGAATGCGGGGTCCTGGGAGAGCGGATATAGTGAGCGGATATAGTGAATGCGGGGTCCGGGAGACCCGGGGAGAGCGCGATATAGTGAATGCGGGGTCTGGGGAGAGCGGATATAGTGAATGCGGGGTCCGGGGAGAGAGGATATAGTGAATGCGGGGTCCGGGGGGTGTATCTAAACCCAATAATAAAAACGTTTTTTCAGGCGGACCCGTTCGGAACCTCCATTCTCCTCTATGGAGCTGCGAAATCCAATTCCACCCGTCAACATCCAATCCGATCCAACCCGCAAAAAAGGGATGGATGGGGTTCCAACTTCCCTTCCTCCTGCCGGATCGGTCGGATGGAGGTGGGCAGGTGGTCCTTTTTTCATCCAACCATCCATTGAGGAGAGCGAGCTGCTCTTTGTCATCCGCTAAACGGGTCCGCCCATGTGAATGGACCATTTTGATTGGCTATTTAACAGGCCAAAGGAAGGAAGTTCATTGTTGGGGTGTACATACACTTTATTGTGGAAATGTAGCAAAATATTGACACCTACAGTAATTATTCCTGTTTCTTTGTTTGTGGTCACTTTGCGGCCCCCCAGGAGGAAGACGATGAGGATGTTGATGTGCATTATTCCACCATATTTAATTCTTCATCTGGTGGACATCGAGGAGAAGACAAGAGCAGGAAGAAGACAGAGGAGGTCGAATATGCTTCAGTGAGGACAGCGATCATAACGCCCACGTCAGACATGTCGGGACAGACGTGGACCCCGCCAATGTGTGCTATGCCACCCTAAGGAGGACCTCAGCAGATTCCAGGACTGCTGAGCAATTTACCACTTACCCCGACTGGGAGTAATCGGCCAATTTTCTTCTCTCACTGACCAAAGACCACCATAAGTGATAGGAAAGCCCCTCTTTGTTTAACATAGTTGTCCGGATCGGGATCCCAGTAGATCCCAGACCACCATTAGTGATATGTAATGATAGGAAAGCTCCCTTTGTTGTCACATTGTTGTCCGGATCGGGATCCCAGTAGATCCCAGACCACCATTAGTGATATGTAATGATAGGAAAGCTCCCTTTGTTGTCACATTGTTGTCCTGATTGGGATCCCAGTAGGTCCCAGACCACCATTAGTGTGATATGTAATGATAGGAAAGCCCCCTTTGTTGTCACATTGCTGTCCTGATCGGGATCCCAGTAGGTCCCAGACCACCATTAGTGATATATATGTAATGATAGGAAAGCCCCCTTTGTTGTCACATTGCTGTCCTGATCGGGATCCCAGTAGATCCCAGACCACCATTAGTGATATGTAATGATAGGAAAGCCCTCTTTGTTGTCACATGGTTGTCCTGATCAGTGTCCCAGTAGATCCCAGATATCAGTAAGGGTAAGGAGCCCATGATCCTTTGGAGAGTGGGTGTCCTGGTTTGTGGACATCAGCGCTCCAAAGAACCACCTACCAGCAGTGATGTATTTAGGTTCTGTGCTGCCCTAGGCAACACAAAAATCATCTGCCCCCATGGACACCCGCCCACCCTTGGACACCGACTAATTACCCTTCCCGGGGAGAGAGCCTGACATTGACCAACAACACCCCAGACATTGACCAACCACACCCCCGACATTGACCGACGACAGCACCACACCCCCCGACATTGACCAACGACACCCCCGACATTGACCAACGCCACCCTGAGATTGACCAATGACACCCCCGACATTGACCAACGACACCACTGACATTAGATTGACCAACGCCACCCTGAGATTGACCAACGACACCCCGACATTGACCAACGACACCCCCGACATTGACCAACGACACCACCGACATTGACCAACGACACCCCCGACATTGACCAACGACACCCCCGACATTGACCAACGACACCCCCGACACTGACCAACGATACCCCCGACATTGACCAATGACACCCCCGACATTGACCAACGACACTACTGACATTGACCCAACGCCACCCTGAGACATTTGACCAACGACACCCCCGACATTGACCAACGACACCCCCGACATTGACCAACGACACCCCCGACATTGACCAACAACCACCACTGATATTGACCAACGACACCCCGACACTGATCAACGACACCACCGACATTGACCAATGACACCCCCGACATTGACCAACGACACCCCCGACACTTGACCAACGACACCCCCGACACTGACCAATGATACCCCCGACATTGATCAACGACACCCCCCCGACATTGACCAACATTGACACCACTGACATTGACCAACGCCACCCTGAGACACTTGACCAACGATACCCCCTGACATTGACCAACAACACCCCCCGACATTGACCAACGACACCCCCAACATTGACCAACGACACACCCCCGACATTGACCAATGACACCCCGACATTGACCAACGACACCCCTGACATTGACCAACAAACACCCTTGCCCCCCACCTGGGTGTGAAAGCCTTCCACTTCCCCCCTGGCAATTGAGAGAAAGACCCTCATCTTCACAGCTCCGGACATCCCCGGGAACAAGAGTCAGGCTCTTACATACACCATCAAGCAGCCCGCAGCCTCTCTCAGATCCCACCTGGTTCCCATGCGTTATGTCCCTTCTTCCATCCCTTCTTCTGCAGGGGAGCTGCTGCCCCCCTGAAAAATGCCGCCCTAGGCAAATGTGCCTTGTTTACCTTGTGGTAAATAC